GAACTGCAGGAAACTTCGATGATGGCCGCAGCAGATTGGATGTTCCCACTGCTGATGACGACGATGCAGTGATTAGTCGGAGTTGGTTGAGAATTACGCGGGACAATAATGCTGCGGATTTACAATTCATCATCACTTTCATTTCATTCAAAAAATACTCCGTATGTGGCTCTGGTCTATACTCTCAGCTTCATTTCCACTTCACAGTGTGCCCGGTTGAGGTCAGACTCTTGCTCCTATCGAGGGACGGTGAGACTTGAGAGGGGTTAACTAGGGTTCTGCGTGAGATTCAAATCAAGTGTAGTAGGATTATCCTGTTCTCCTTCTTAAGACTGCTTAATTTATACTTATGGCTAAGATTTTCCCATTTTATATTTTCAGAAAGTCTTATTAAGATTGTCACATACCAAAATAGGTAAAGATTGTGTGACTCTAAATCATTCTTACTTAATTCTTACTTTATCAATTTAATATCAACCACACAAACTCACTTTTCTTAATAATCGGGTCACATTATCTTGTCTCAATCTTAGTGAGACGAAGGTAGTACTACATATATTACTAAAGTATAAAGTATGCTTATTAAACTTGCGTTCATAGACGGCACCTAAAAAAGTGTTATAAGTTCGTGTTTACTTCACAGAATTTAAAACATTGTTTTAATGTGTTCAAAATAACTCTATACATATATTGACATACAAACATTCACGCACACAAGTATACACATATAACCCCATGCCCCTATATCCTACCCCTACTCTACCCCTAACCCATCCCTAACCCCAATACCCCTACTCATTCCCTAACCCCATACCCCCTTCCTTACCCCTACCCCAACCACGACCTTACCTCTATCCCAACCACCCTGTACTCGTACCCTACCCCCTAACCCCTATGTAACACCCCGGTCCCGTAGGCCCTAAGGTAGTTACTTCTGACCTCTAGTACTATCCTCACAAACCGCCACTAGTCTTTTCCGCGCACTTTGTCCTCACTCGTGCGCGCCCTGAGAAACTTTCCAGGGACCCATCCCAAGACTACTTCCGTGCAAGCACGCTTAACTTTGGAGTTCTTGGCTAATGAGCTCCCTAAAAAGGAGATGCACCTTGTTGGTATGAGTGATACTATTAATCCGTTTAAATTAAAACTCAAGTATTACACCTACCCCTAATTGTTTACCCCGCCCCAACCCTTACCCTACTCCCAATTCCAACCCTATACCCTACCCCTACCACCCCCTTAACCATTGCCTACCCCTACCCCTACTACGACCATATCGCTACCACAACCATACCCCCTACGTCCTACCCCTACTCCCTTCACCCTCCCCCTACCTGACCCATACTTTTACCCCGACTCTCGAGTACGGGGTAGAGGTTAACGGGTAGGGGTATGGACCACGAGTAGGTCGGTGTAGGGAGTAGGGGTAAGGGCATGAGTATGAGGTAGTGGGTAGGGGTAGGGGAATACGGGATCGAGGGTCAGGTGGGGTAGGGGGTATAAAGGCCAGGGTAGTGCGAGGTAGGAGCAGATGATAGGGGGTAATAGGGGTAGGGTAGGGGGCAAGGGCAGGGGACATGGGGATAAGGGGTATGAGTGCGAGGGGGACATGTAAGTGTGGGGGTAAGGTATGGTCGGTGATGTGAGTTTTCTCGCACTCAAATAAGTAGTAGAATAGTGGTGTAAGTACGAGTATCGTCTCCACAGGGACAGACAAAAGGGAATTAAGAATTAATTAAATTCAGCAATTGAAAAGAAATAAAATAAAATAAATTGTACGAGATTTGGATTGATGAAAAATTAAAATGCGAAAAAACGAATGAAAATAAAGTTTGGGGCTTTCTAATTAACGACGAATGGAACAGGGATTGAATCCGGGGCAATCAGATTTCTAATGAAGTCCTCTATCCACCACAACTTGCAAAATTGGAAGTGAATCATACAATCAAAAGATATGGATAAAGTGGTGGAAGGTCGCATCCTTAAATCTCAAAAGTGATTGTCTAACTTCCCCGACTATTTTAATTAGGGGTGTGCGTGGTCCGGTCCGGTCCAATATTTTGCCGAACCCGTACCCGTATCGTGACTATTGAAACGGTTCGGTTCGGTCGTAGACCTAAACCCGTTCGAAACGGTCCATTTTCAACCGGGGCGGTACCATGTCATACCAATACCAAACAATGCCACTTTTTTCAAGTGTTTAAGAAAAAAATTAAAGTTTAGCCATCCTTCAAAAATTCACACAATTTATCAATTTTCATATTTCATACTACCTATGTCCTAAATTGATTCGCAAAGTCAACCTTTTTTTATGAAACCGTTTCTTTTTATTCACTCAATTAAGATATCACTTTTTAATTATATTCTTATTTGGCCTTTCAAAAAAAGCACTTCGTATATTCTAATTTGGTTACCGTAAATATGCTTATGAAAAAAAGGAAAAGGGAAAGATGGTCCACTAACAGAATGCTTCAATAGCCCAACTGTATTAGTGTATGAATACTGATTACAACGAAATGGTCGAACGGGAGTTCCGGACCAGTTGCTAATACAAGAGCTAGAGAGTGTTATATTGCTAGTGAGTATCAAAATGCGAACCCTTACAATGACATAAATGTGGGTATTTACACTAGGAGTGAGTAGGTGAGATGGATGATGTGGTCAATCATGAGTGGATGATCTCTTTGCCACTTGGCCTCCCATACTTGCCACTTGAGCACCCATACCCCAACACTAAATGCACTTCCCGCCAACTTGCAAGGTTCCCGCCAACTACTCTGGGCTGGTCTCCTGTGGATGGCGTTCCCTCTGGCCAAGTACCCTATTTAGTGCATTCGGGATCTGTCGAACGGGAAATAACCAGTTGGGAAGAGGCCGTTCGGGAGTTCATTGTTCATGTCTAGTATTCGTTGGGCTCCGCTACTTCTTTGGGCCTCAGGGATATTTTGGGCCGGGTTATTGGTCCGGCCCCTAATATCCCAACAGTTATATTTCATATGAAACTTGAATCGTGTCATTTGAAGTTTTCTACGAAAAGTTATGCTCAAACGATTGACAGAAAGTCATCCTGATCGTCGTGTTCAAACTCTATTCGTCTCCGTTTGATCTTGTACTTGATCCTTGAGCTTCCTTGGCTTCAAAATTACTCCTTTAATGTGACTCGTAGACCTTCAATACTTCTCAATAACTCTCAAATGTGTCTCGAATCATCTCGAATCATTCTCCAACACTGGTGTCGGGCTTAACCCTGATTTTTACTCTAAAACTATATCAAATCAAAACCAAAACCCGGTAAACTATGACTTGAGCTAATTAAACGCTTTGTGACACATTTAAGTTAGAAAAATGTGTACATACCAATTTCAACACGCATCAAATACGTGTTCAAAAATGGACTTGTCATATATTCTTTAAATATTACTCCCTCCGTCCCTGAAAAATTGTCCTAGTTTGACTTCACACATGTTAAGGAGATGAATTTACCGAGGAGTAAATTTTTACTGTAGAGTGCATTGTTTGACACTGTTTTAACATTATTTGACACTATTTCAACATTGTTTGACACTGTTTGATGTCGAATTGTTCACCAAATAAGGAAGTTAAAGAAGTAGGACATTCATTTAGGAACTTCCATTTTGAGAAAGTAAGACATTCTTTTGGGGACGGAGGGGGTATTAAATAAGTAATGTTTACGGGGGAACCCATAATATCATACAAAACTAACTTGAAATGTGGCAGGAATGGACTTTATGGCCCATAGACAATTTCAAGGAAGTCCCACTTTTGTAAACAGGCAAACATTATATCTTTCTCTCATATTCTCTACATTTTAGAAAGCATGCACTTCTGCATGATGAAGCAATGAAGACAAGTAAAGCACATAGACACCATAAATCGTGCATGATGAAGCAATGAAGATAAGTAAAGCACATAGACACCATAAATCTCATTTCTGCATGAAGATGACAAAAATACATTGTATGAATTTTGTCCCAATCACTAAGATCCCATTTGATGACCTTTTTTCGGCTTATGAGTCAACTTTTTCACCAAACATACAACTTTTAATTTCGCGCGCTGAATTGTGTAATAATAAGCAAAAGTAAGGTTAACGTTTTTATGTTTCCATTGGCTGAAGTTACTGTAGACAATCATTTTAGCTATTTTTCATATATATTTTTGTTTTATTTATTAGTAACAAATATTTTAAATATACTTCCTCCGTCTCTTTTTAGTTGCAACGGTCAACATTTCACGTTTGCCAACGCATAACTTTGACCGGCATTATATTTAATTCTGTATTAGTAAAAATAAAATAAAAATCAGATTATAAAACTTAGTAATGAGACGAATTTAACAAAATTTTTCAAAAAAAATAATTCACATACATTAATAAATAAAATGTAGTCAAAGTAAAGTACATGAATAGTGTATATATTTCAATGTTGCAATTAATGTGATACGGAGGATAGTAATATTTTCATAAATCAGAAGAATCAACCAACACAATCACTTCAACCAAAACTTCATTAATTTAACTAAGTTATTTCCATATGTATGCATAAAGGAGACTAGGAGAGGATCTTCTATAGACACGTCAAACAAAAGTGGTTTATAACGAAAGATAAGAATGTGATCTTTTGTGGATAAAGTTGAAGCACCCAAACATACAAAAGTAATGAATATTATCATGTCAGGCGTGTATTTTAATTTTCTATTGTTATTAGTTGTATTTATATATCCCGTCTTATGATATTTCTCATTATTTTTTTTTTGTGACATTATTGTATTTGCAATTTAAGTATTTTCTTAACATAATATTTTTTTTTTGTCCTGGAGCAAACCACATGAGGTGGAGGAAGTGCCGGGGAACACTTCCAAATATTATTAATAATTGTTTAAAGATACAACATACAAGTGAATAAAAGTTGCAAGTGATAAAAAGAAAGGAAACATAGAATTACATTAGTTGGAATTCCTAGTTGCAATTTAAGTATTTTCTTAAGATGATGGTTTAATTGATATTAATACTCATGTTGCTGAAGTTACCATTCATGATTTATGTAATGAATTTTTACATAAAGATCTCGTTACACATACAATTAGAATTGGAAGTCTAATACAAGTAATCTAATACTCCCTCCGGTCATTAATTAACTTTACACTTTCCTTTTTGAGTCGTCCCATATTAAACTTTACACTTCCTTATTTACCTTATTTGGCAAACAAATCTACACCAAACAATGCAAAACAATGTCAAACAGTATCAAACAGTGCCAAACAGTGTCAAACAGTGTATTCTACAGTAAAGTCAAATTTATTTCCTTAATATGTGTGAAGTCAAAGTGTAAACTTCATTAAGGACCGGAGGAAGTACACAAATGTTATTGAGATGAACTTTTCGTAACAAAAATTATACACATTGACATTGAACATTGATTCTCGTTTATTATCTATCACAAATTCACAGATTCGCATGTGCTTGAAAACTCTGTAGTAAATAAATAAATAAACTGGTTCAATGCGCCTTCTCTTTGTTAAAAAGTAAACCCAAAGAGTAGGTGTTGCCTTTCTGGGCTGCAGCTTGTACACGCTTTGCTCCAATCTGCAAAAAAATAAGGGAAATGGAACAAATATACCCTTATACTATACGTGTGAGTACATATATACCCTTGTTCTATTCATTGGAACAAAAAACTTTAAAAATCAAATATTTGGTCTAAAGCTACCCCTTCCCTAACGGTTCATTAAAGCTATTAAGATATTCTATCAATTCACAGAAGGCGCCTCTTCATAGAAATAGCAGAGACAAAGCAACGAACAAAAATGATGAGTAGAAGTGAAGAGCTGACTTGAACTCTTCGTTTTAGCATTAAATCATTGGTAAGTATTAGATTCGGTTATATGTGTGGATCAAATATTGTAATTTGGATCGAGTGAATATGTTCTAAATTAGGGTTAGTTGTTTTAATTTAGGGTTGATATTTGCTAAAACTTGCATCCATCTATACACAAATTCAAAGCATCTTACAATACGTGAATTAAAATTAAGAAGTGTGAAAACATATTTATTGTACAAATTAAAGAAATTTTGTTTTCGTTTGAATATTGCTAGTGTGATTCATGAATTAGCAAGAAGTATGGCCAGGGTGATAATGAATTTTTTCATTTAGCCTTGTGGCCTAGGTTATCGGCATGAGCAAATCGCTGGCTTTATTGATCTACCGGACAAAAACGATGAAGAAGAAGACATTAAAACAGAGGAGCTTTAATCAGGCTGTTGCTAACTTGCTATAGGGTAGAGGAGCTGCTCCTATAAGATAGAGAAGAAAGAAGGATGAACCCGATTCTCACATGAGTAATATTAGATCTGACGGGAAAAGTTTTAAAACGTTAGGGAGGGTTGATTTGTACCCCAATCTCAGTTTTATCAGCTTTTTGTTCAAAAAAATAAAATAATGGTATATATGCTCCCACACTAATAGTGCAGGGGTATATATGTTCCTTTTCCCAAAAAATAACAAAAGTTAAAAGAGCATGCCAGCTGAGCAGCCATAGAGAGAAACAGATAGAGTATAAGTCTTCGAGGGTAAAGATTAACTCATAAGAGAGAGAGAGTCCGACATAGTCATATCTCTTCTTATATCTTATGTACCCATTCTAGCTATTTTATCTTTCTCTCTTTTATCTTTCTTATATTCTTATGTTAATGTTATCTTATATTTATTTATCTTTATTTTATTTGTTTTATCTTACGTTTTTCCCCTTCTTGTCCGTCTTCTCTGTTTGGCATCGATAACATAGATCGATTCTGTTGTGGACTCCTTTTGGGGCCACACTTATAAACGACGCATAAATGATTCAAAGGCCCAAGAGTCAACAACTGAAAGTGGCTGAAGTTGGGAATAAGGATATAGTTTCCTAATTCTAGTTAGTTTCCTAGTTCTAATATATTTCCTTATTCTAGTTACTTAATATGGCTGAACTGGGAAACAAGAATACAATTTCCTAATTCTTATTAGTCCTGATTCTAGTTTGTTTCTAATTCTTGTTTCCTTTCCTATTTAGAACTCTAAGCAGCCTCTCTATATAAAGAGGTTTTTGTTATTGGAATAAAGTACGTTTTTGGAGATTTAATTTGTGCGTCTTGACAAGGTCGGGCGCCGATTAATTTAACAAGAATAGCTTCGTTAAATTCTACTAATTCTTTGTCTCTTTCCCGATTAATATCTCGAACACATCCCTGGACTAGGGCTAGCTCTCGCCTCCTTAACAATTTGGTATCAGAGATGGGCACGATGGGCAACGCTCCGGTGACGACAGAAGCGTTGAAGGCCTTACTACAAGACGTTGATCAACGACAACTTGACGTTGAAGAACAGTTAGCCGATATCAAGAACACCGTAACCGACTTGGCCGGACTTCCAGCAGCTTTCGCTGAGACGAGTAAAACTGTGACCAGCCTGTCAAACACTCTCAACCAATTGTTGCAGGATCCACCATCATCCAGTCTACATGCTGGACGGCCACGACATACTGATAACCACCAACGCGACTTTGACGATGGGATGATTCCACGGTACTCCAAGTTGGAGTTTCCCCAGTACGATGGATACAGTGATCCATTAGCGTGGCTGAAGCGGTGTGAGCGGTTCTTTGTCCAGCAGCGCATCCAACCGCAGGCACAAGTAGGGTTGGCTACTTTTCACATGATCGAGTTAGATCCTGTAGGAGTAAGCCTTAACTGGACAGAGTTCTATATCCGTTGTTCAAAACGATTTGGGCCCCCAAGCAGCCACAACCCGGAGGGTGATCCGGTGAATTTAAAGCAAACGTCTGACTTAGAGTCTTATATTACTAAATTTCAGCAGTTGCTAGCCCGCACAGCTGGAGTGTCGACTTGCATGCAAATCAAAATTTTTATGGCTGGACTTCGAGAGACAGTACGTGTGGAAGTTGAATACCAGGAACCCGTTGATCTTGACACAACCATGATGCTCGCCAGAAGCAGCGAGCGCAAATTCCTCGCAGCTGCGACCTCAACAAACAGCAGTACATATGGATACATATGAATCTGGTAGGTCAAGCACTCAAATGCCTCACTCCGTTATCCCCGAGCAGACACCAGTAAAGAAAAATTACAACCCTACGTTTAAAAAATTAACCCGGGCTGAAGCTGTTGCACGACAAGAAAAAGGATTATGCTACAACTGTGATGAAAAGTGGATGCGTGGCCACCGGTGCAAACGATAATTTTTTGTCGAAATTGTGGATGACGACTTTGAAGAGGCCCCTGAAACCCAGAGTGAGTCCTCCCTGTCGATCAATGCAATGAATGGGTTCGGGTCACATTCCACCATGCAACTAGCCGCAACCTTGTTTGGTCAATCTCTGAAGGTTTTGGTCGACTCGAGAAGTACTCACAATTTTATCCACCAACGTTGGGTCCCCATGAACAGCCTGCAGCAGCACTCTAGCACCCGCCTAACATGTTTTGGTGGCTAATGGAGATCGGGTACCCATCATTGGTACATGTTCGCGTCTTCCATTCACTGTTAATCATGATCACTTTCACGCAGATTTTTATGTACTGCCGTTGTCCGATTTTGATATGATTTTGGGCATCCAATGGCTTTGTGGGCTTGGCTCCATACAATGGGACTTCTCAAAACTCTCCATGCAGTTTACTCGGAATGGCAAGCCGGTGACTTGGCAGGGTCGCGGGGCCGACGTTTCAGCAGTCTCTCACATGGCGATCTGTCCGGACAGTTCTAAACCCTCTCTCAAAGAGCTTCTGTTTCATTTTGATGATCTCTTTCACAGCCCCTCCGGCCTTCCACCCCAACGTGCATGTGATCACCGCATTACCTTACTCCCAGGCACGAGTCCAGTTGTGGTTCGTCCGTACCGCTACCCTTATTTTCAGAAAGATGAAATTGAAAAACAGGGTGCTGAAATGTTGGCGCAGGGGATTATTCAACCAAGCCGCTCTCCCTTCTCCTCTCCGGTACTCCTCGTACGTAAACCAGACAAGTATTGGCGTTTTTGCGTCGATTACAGAGAGTTGAACTCCAAGACTGTTAAAGATAAATTTCCCATTCCGGTAATTGATGAGCTACTGGATGAGCTTCACGGAGCAACTTACTTCACGAAACTTGACCTACGCTCGGGATATCATCAGATCCGCAATGGCCCCTGAGGATGTGGAGAAAACAGCTTTTCAGACACATCATGGACACTTTGAGTTCCTCGTCATGCCATTTGGTCTGACTAACGCACCATCCACGTTTCAGAGCTTAATGAATGATATATTTGGGCCGTATCTCCGAAAGTTTGACTTGGTCTTCTTTGATGATATCCTCATTTATAGCAAGACATGGTTGGAGTATATGTACCACATCCGCCTCGTCCTAGAACTGTTAAGGTCACATGGTCTCTTCTTAAAGCAGTCAAAGTGCAGCTTCGAGGCCTCCCAGGTGCATTACTTGGGGCATGTCATCCACAGCAAGGGAGTGGAAGTTGACCCGACAAAGATTCGGGCAGTCCGTGAGTGGCCTACCCCGACCTCTATCACTACCTTACGAGGGTTCTTGGGGTTAGAGGCTACTACCGCAAATTTATTCAACATTATGGAGAGATCGCGGCACCCTTAACCCAACTCTTGAAAAAGAATGAGTTCACCTGGAACGCAGCAGCAGAAGCAGCTTTCACAACGCTGAAACTCCGTTTGTCCACCACACCTGTGCTTCAGCTCCCAGATTTCACTAAACCTTTCGTTGTGGAATGTGATGCTTCTGGGAGTGGCATAGGGGCTGTTTTGCAGCAAGAAGGGCACCCAATAGCTTATTTCAGCCGTAAAATTGCAGACCGCCATGCGAAATTAGCCGCATATGAACGGGAACTCATCGGTTTGGCTAAAGCAGTGACTCACTGGCGGCCTTATTTGTGGGGTCAAGAATTTCTCATCCGCACCGACCACTCCAGTTTAAAACATTTATTGGACCAGCGTTTGACTACGTCCCCCCAACAACACTGGCTCAGCAAGTTAATGGGATTTAACTTTCGTGTTGAATACAAACCAGGATACCTTAACACCGTTGCTGATGCTCTATCTCGACGTGACGGATTGGAGCCTGTTGTGACAGCTCTCACAATTCCATTTACCACCTTGTTGGACGAGATTCGAACGATACAATCACAGTCTACAGAAATTCAGGATATTAAAAGCCAAATTCTAGCCGGTAATCGCACTCCTGAATGGACCTCGCATGATGGGTTGGTTTATTTCAAGCACAAACTATTCCTGCTACCCGACTCCACAATAATACCTACCCTTTTATCCGTCTTCCACGAGATGGCACATGAAGGCATCACAAAAACTCTCCAACGTTTGCGGCGTGAATTTTATTGGACAGGCATGAAAAATTCAGTGGCAAATTATATCCGCGATTGTCAAACATGTCAACAACACAAGTGGTTAAACTTACAACCGGCAGGATTACTCCAACCGTTGCCCATCCCGGAACACATCTGGTCTGATATCTCAATGGATTTTGTGGAAGGCTTACCGAAGGTTCACGGCAAGTCCACAATCATGATGGTCGT